TAATTTTGACTACCTGAAGAAATCCATAATACACTGATTATATTGTAAATATGTAGGATAATTTTATTTTCTTTACACCGGGGGGTTCACTAGTTTCGCCAGGAACACACCGTGTTCCTTGGATTACCCTAGAACTCTTCTTAAAATGTGGGCACGTTATTCCCGTGGACTGAAGCCGTATGATGTTATGTTTTCCGTCGATTGTGTGAAGGTATCTTTCAAAATTTTTTGTGAGTGTTCCAGTTGCGCCAATTACTATGGGGACAATTTGGGCCTTAATATTCCATATTCTACATATTTCGATGGCTAGGTCTCTGTATTTAAGTGATTTTGTAGCTTCCTTCGCCACCACATTGTTATCGGCTGGAATTGCAACGTCAACTATCGTACATAAGTTGCTACGTCTATCTTTAATAATAATATCCGGTTTTTTTGCTGTTATTTGCCTATCTCTTTGAATTTGTTGATTCCACAGTATTGTAACATCTTCTTTGCTTGTGACCTGCTCAGCTCTGTGATCATACCAATTTCGGGCGGTGTTAATATCAAAATTTTGGTATATTTTGAAGTGCAACAGTTTGGCCACATTATCTTGTCTCTATATACTCATTTTTTGCTAGTATAGGACAGCCAGAGAGGATATGATTCACTGTTTCATCGTAGTTAATGCATAACCCACACTTTGCGTCTATAGCGTTCTTTATGATATTTTTTGAGTAATATCGAGTATTAATGGCTTGATCTTGTGCCGCGACTATTAGGCTTTCTCCCTGCCTGCATTTTCTGTTATTATTACTGCTCTGGCATACTCCAGTGAATCGATGTCTAGCAGGTCTACCTGATTTTTGTTTAACCACTCATTTATAAATTTGTTTGCGGATGCAATCAATTTTCGTTCAGTTCCGAGTTTTTCGTAGTTCTCTATTATTTCCTTTCAAAAGTTTCTTCGTGTTGTTGTTTGTAGTTTACTTTTGCTTCATCCTCCTGCCAGTTAGGTGGTGTGATATACTTATTAGAAACCCTATATAATAATAACTATTATCCAGCAGATCCATGCAAATAATGCTTGCATCTAAACCTTAGATAAAACAAATGGATATAAAAACGAATATCGCAGTAGTAATCCACACGAAATTGATTACATCTAACCAAGCTAATGTTAATTTGATCAAACTCTGGTACCATGTATTTTTAAACTCAGATTCATATTCATTTCAAACTTCATATTCCTATTTTTCCCACACCGGATTCTAATTGGTGGGTTTTGGATCTTCGAAAAGCAGGGGAATGATGGCTTATCGAATTTTTGGTCGCCGACCAATGTGTTTAAAATTCGAGGCCTTAAAGCCCAAAATGTCAATTTTAGACTTTTTACCGTATCCAAGCGCTTCGTCGTTTTTAAGCCTGTAAATACTTGTACACAAGCTATTGATTTCTCTGCCAACTAACCACTTAAGTAGTTTGTACTTGTCCTCATTTCGTAACAATTCCCATAACCGTTCTTAAGCAATTTTCGTTGTTCCCACTCGTATCTTAAACTCGAAATGTAGCAGGGTCCTCGGGGAGCCAAAATAAATTTACAGTGCCTTTCTTTGTCAGCCCATTCTTCTTCTTGTCGTGTATTTTAAGGATACAATAAAGATATGATGTAGTTTTCACCCTACGTTGATGCATGGAGAGTGTTTCATGGTTTCTTTCCATGTTTAAATTTTATTTTGTTGTTTGACACGTCTTACCTCTAACGGGTTTTTTGATATACGCGGGCAGTTATTTCGGATGAGTGGGTGAAATTTGAATGAAATTTCCTGTGCTAACGTAACTTAACTATATCATATACTTCTGAGTAGGCTGCGTAATAAAAATGAAATTAAAGCATTTTTTATTATAAATTTTAAATTATTTGCATTGGTTTGGCATTTATAAAAAAGTATAGAAGAGCTTTCTCATGAAATCCAATTGACATTATCACGTGCGTTAAAGATGTAGTGGTCGACAAACTTCCATGCTTCTGAATTGTCTTACGCTTTGGTTTGTAAATATAATTATTTATAATCTTTATTGTCCAAGAGTATAAAACCATTATAAACAATGTCATGTGGCAAATTTTATTAAGACGAATTTGCTACATGTTTTGACTACTGGCCGCAATTGTTTACGAATGTCGGTGGATGGAAAAGACACAGAACCCTTTGTAAGGTGAAAATTCCGCTAAAAATTAGAAATTATAGAAGTAATTAAGGTGGGTGTGGCCCCAATCGACTTTTTTTTTGTGGTGATTATTTCTTAACGTATAAACTTGTACATGGTTTTTATATTTATTTTCAAAGCTTTTTTTCCTTATAAAGGCAAGATCAAATTTTAATAATTCTTTACAAAATTTGATTATCTAAAGAATCCCTTGAACTTTTCAGTCATTTGACCAATTTTAGAGAAGTTCTTGTAAGTTTTCATTGGAACAAACCTCATTAAAATATGAATTAACTAGTTTAATAAGCACCCGCACACTAGTCTTTATCAAAGTTATTGTATAATATACTATTTGCCTTTACTAGGTATCGTTTTTAAAAACAATTTTATTGACGAGCGATGTAAGATCCATCTGACTACCAAATGGAATTTATTAACATTAGCATATACGAGGGGGTACCCTTGAAAAACCGGAATTGAATTGCCGCGCGCAGAGCTTGTATAGTACACCTTTCTGCCGCTAGGTTGTGGATAGTACAACTTATTGTGAGTTCAAAGCAAAGTTTTAAGAAGATTGCGCAACAGTATTCGACAAAAAAGACCCGATTTGTGGCGGACAGGGGACTGGTTCTTTCACCATGATAATGCACCTGCACACACAGCCATTTCTGTTAAGCAGGTTTTGGCTAAAAATGGCATGGTTCCTCTGCCCCATGCACCTTACTCGACTGATCTCGCTCCGTGTGACTTGTTCTTATTTCCACGTATGAAAAGGGACATGAAAGGACAGCGATTTGACAACATTGAAGACGTCAAGAAAAAAACGAGGGATGAGCTGTCGGCCATAGCCAAGGATGAATATAAAAAATATTTCGAACCGTGGAAGCACCTCTGGTACAAATGTATTAGTTGTAATGGAGAGTATTTTGGAAGGGGATAAGGTCGTTCTGTGAATTTCAAAACAATATATAGTTTATAAAAAATGATTCCGTTTTTTTTTTTGGGTACCCCCTCGTATTTATATTATTTTATATGCTGATGATGCGTGAGAACTTAACAGCGCGAATCACGGAAACGTTGCAACTCTCATTCCTTATGATTGAATTGAATTTGCCAATTATTCTGATTTAATTTCCGAATATTAAAGAAACTGATAAAACAAACGCGAGCACGTGAGCCTTCTTTCGGAGGCATATCACGCCGGAAACAGTTTACCTCAGTAATTATTTAAATATTAGCCCAGCTACGTGTTCCGAAAACGTAACGACTATTCTTAATGACAAGGAATCGTCTGAAAGCAGTTCTTGTTACATTGAGGCGTTAAAGTGAAACGCCTTGCCATGGAGAAAGCACCTGTTTACAAAACAATTAGAAAGCTCAAAGGTACGTTGGCTCGTCTTCGTGAATGAGAGCCTTTTGATTAAACTAATCGAAGTAATTGGCAGTTTTTTTGTCGCCATGTTATGAAATTTGACCTTTGCAAGAATTTTAATTCAACTGAAACCACATAGCCACGTCCTGAAATGCAAAGCTTCTATCTAGATAGCTTTATAAGAAGTAAAACTAATGATATCTTGACAGTTATTCAATGCTTTTATTGGGTACATCTATTACCATACTCGCCCATCGCCAACATCCGTGGGATCTTTCTCAAGTCCAAGGAACAATAATAATAATAATAATAATAATAATAATAATAATAATAATAATAATAATAACAATAATAATAACAATGATAAATAATAAAAATAAAATAATTAAAAGAACAATAAAGCAAATAACAGCAAGGCATATAATCTAATGTGATTTATATCACGAAGTTACACTACAAGTTCAAAGCACGTGCACTGAGAGCTGCATATATTGATTGAGAGTATTCCCAATATCTCACACAACCAAATAACATGTGATTCGAGATCTCCTAATTTTCCGCATTCGCACACGTTAGGTGCTCTGACATTATTCGTACAGATGGTACAGATGGATCCGGTAACAGCAGTGGTTCCTCCTTAATCTATATACAGTAGTTATTACTGTTCTGGTGAGATTCAAACCACGAAGTCAGGGTTTAACCGGAGGATCCTCATTAAAGCTGCTCTACAATCCATTTTAAATTAAAATTTTATTTAAAATTTAAATTGTTAATTACAATTATTTCTAATACCATAATGGCTAGGAACCCTTATGAGACAAGACTTTTCATCTATTTTTAACTTCTAAAAGCATCCTACTCGTTTTTGCATTACATTATGCATCTCCGTACTTTATGAGTAGATATTACTTATTGTAATGCATGCGTTTCAGCTATGTAAATGTTAAAATAGCTATTCAACCCCAACTCATATTCTTACACTATTATCTATCCCCTTAGAAGCATCCGTAAAAGTAAAACATACTCAGAGGTGCACCTACGTTCACACATTTCCAGAAATAGCAGTCCATTGGAACAGTGCTTTGAAAAACCAGAATCCATAAAATGCACAGAAGATCTGGGGAAAATGTTATATGAGTTAATCTGATCCAAGTCAAAATATTAGTGGTATTTTGCAAAAATGTACAAAAAAACTAATGGTTGTAAAAAAGTATAGTATGCAACATGTTGACAAGCACTCGCTACGCTTTGAAAGTGATCTTTAGTAAATAATGTAATTACGCAAGAGTTGAAAATGTGTTAATTGTTCTTAATGTACACTGAACATATTTGTAATTCTTAGACCCCACCCAGTGCAAGTTTTTATTCCTATATATTGTTGAAATTGGAGAGAGCAGAAGTTGTACGGAAAAAGTGGATTATCTGTGCTTTTGTTTTTCAGGTCCCGACTTAATTCTGGCCCCAGTAAGTTTTTCGCAGCAAAGCTCGGATTATTGACCGATGACAAGTTGGTCGGATTTAAGGTAGAATTCGTTTCGTAAGTGAAGCTATCCCCGAACTGTATTTTTATTGGTATTCGCCGATAACGGGATTTGAAGAAAAGAGCTTTTATTCCCCTGCCATATATCGACCTAAAGGGCTATTAGCCAAAAAATATATACATGGTAGTTCGTTTTATAGCTGATAGTCAATATTATCAATGATGAAATGTGTAGAAAGTGCTACTGTCCTTCTACTACTTCTGCCCGTTGAAGACAATTTTCCCAATTTTCGAGATTTTGCAGTTTCTACATGAAATATTTTCAGCTAGTTCCCTTAGCCTTGACTTGCGAATTTTATGTCTTCTAAACATTTAGTTTTCTAGCATGTATGATTTTTTTTTGGCTACATCCCGATAAGATTAAGCTTTAAAAATAATGGAATAAAAAATATTAAATACGAATACTTTTTCAAGGTCAAATTACAAAAAAAAAGAAACATACGAAAAAGTGAGGCACTGAGTGTCCCTCATAATATTAGGAAAATTTTTTAATTCCATGACAATTTTTTTTTATCTCGATCACTCTTCTATGACCCATGACTTTAAAGTACACCAGTCACGTGATCAGTGTCATGTCGTGCTGTGAAATAAAAAAAAAAGCTGTTAAAAAAATGTTTGGAATAATATATTAGAGCTTATAAATAAAAAACGTTCTCTATATGTATACGTGGCAGCCACACAATTTTGTGCCTAAGCAATTATTTTGTTTAAACCTTTTTTTTTGCGTTAAATGCCCAGGCAAATGATTATATGCTCGACATTGCTTTTTGACTACGAAATACCTATAACTCATACCAAATAAAGCTTTTCCTTTAATCAGAATATTTTATATTGTAAAGATGCAAAGATTTGTTACTTACATTACAATATTTCTAAACTTGATTTTATAGACAATTATTGACAACTCGATTTTATTTGCTCCTTTATCAGCCATAATAAAACATATCAGCGCCTCTAAAAATTATTAATTAGGTCTTATGTGCATTTAAATACATCTAGAATATGTTTATTTACTCACTGAATCACTGAAATTACTAGAGTCATTACATTCGTCGCCAATATTAATAATAATTGGAAGAATCTAATCCACTACATGTTCCCTGTTATACCACTATACCAATTATTCCAAAATTAATTTTAATTGCCAGCATAAAGTATACTAAGTACCTAAAAAAGCATTTGTACCTCTAATACATGTGAACATGTTAATAATCAGCTTTTGTCATCAACGTTCGTATTTTTAACAAATCCAAGTCTCATCCTAGAAAACAAACTGGTGTTGACATGCCTTGATCAACAATATTCCGCAAGTCTTGTTTTTTTTTATTTAAAACTTATATCTTTTAATTACTAACGTATAGAATAATGTTACATATTGGCCTACAAGAAAAAATAAAGCAGAATTATGGATATCTAATTGATAGTTGCTTTGTTAAATGACTTACGTATAGCACTGGAATTGCGCTTTGAAATATCACAGACTCTCGTTGAAGTACATTTTTGAATACCTGTATATAGCACAAACTTAGGTTTAAAGTCTCTGCTATGCGGTGAAATACATTTAATACAGTTCACACATTGAACGACATGGCCGACTTGTAAACTCACCCCCCTAACAGCATTTAAGGTACATCTCCGTCGAAATATTATAATATAAATTAAAACGAGTATTCCTCTATTCCTCTAACTAAACCCTCCCAAGTGCAATCAAGCATATAAGGAAATCGATTTGGCAACTTCACGCTCTTGGAGCAATTAAATTCCATTTATGCCAGTCGGGAATCGAATATTTACATGGTTTTTGGTACTGGTTTTTATTTGGTATGAGCTAATACATTTTGAGAGCAATTGCAGGTAGGAGAGAGAGTCAAAATTATGATAAATATGTTAGATTCATAAATGGCCCAAAAATCATGTCAAATTGTTAAAAAAAAAGCACTATTGATTGATACGATTAATAATATTTCCAAAAATACGGTTTAAATTGCAGCAATTAAACTTTTACAAATATTAACTATAACAGAAATGGCAATACATTGAGTATAATTTAAGTACTTTCTGCTAAACATGACCACAATTCCCGAGAAACTGGAAAAGCGGATTTATTGAAAATTCTACGTATACTTTTGACCTAGTTTAAAATTTTGAGATGCATTTTTTAATAATTAGTAATTTAATTTAAAACGCGAACACAAGTCTTGAACAATTTCAATGCAGCAATATTGACAAGTTGCAGCGTTTGGGGAATAGCTTTTCTTAATTTGCGGTATTTAGGATCTCTTAAGCCCTATATTTATTTCGTTTACATTTGTAAATATTTAATATATAGCGGTCGGCGTTTTTTGCCATCTATCGATATGTATTCATAAGAAATAATGTACAAACTAGTGATAAGTCGCTAAAGCACATTTAACGGGAAATAAATTTAGGTGTTAGCATAAATTTAAGGACCCTCTTATCTTTATCGGAAAAATTGGTTAATTTGCACAGTCGTGCTTCTATCAAAACACTATAGCATAATAGAGAAGGAATATTATAAAAAAAAGATTGAAGTTAATTTCAAAATAAAAAGTTTATATTTCTTTGTGTTTATTATGCAATCAAAATTTTTCAATTTAGTTAAAAGATTGAAATTTCATTTTATTTTCATGCAATGTGGTCTTTAACAAGCTTCCTTTTGGGTCATAGGCTATGACAGGTTAGTTTAGTTATATTAATTAGAATTACGTAAGTTATTATATTTTTAAATATTAAAATGTAAGAAACTATATTGTCTTATTTGAAACAAATTAATGTTAAAACACTCAGGAATAAAATCGATTTTCTTATTAATCTTTTCTTAATAGTCCTAATGTATAGTCCTTGTTGTGTAATATTGTTCATCTGGTTATACATAGCTAATTAAAATTTTAACATCAGAAAATGGACACAACAAAATCAGATATTTTGTCGGAATTAATTTCGTAGCGAACAAAAAATCAACAGAATTTAAGTATTTTTAAATGAACTTTATCGAAAGATATTTTGATGATACGAACTTAATTTTATAACTTTGACACAATAAAATCAAAATATCTTAAAAACTACGCTTAAACAATATAGATTAAATCCCGGCAGATGTAATGTTTGGATATAGAACTCAAGAAACTTTACCCAATATGCCGGCAACGATAAAGTTCTGTTTCCGAAATTTTCCATTGTTCTGAAATAGCCTACAGATTGTTTCATTTTTTTTTTTTATTTGATTTTATTTATATTTTTCGTTATTTATAGTAAAAGTTTTCAGAGGATTTTTTTTTTAGAAATAAGAATAAAAAAAATGTTTGGTTAGTTTGATGTATTAATATTTAGTAATAAATTACTAAATATGCTTATTGCTTTATTTTTTCCGAACTAAAAGAAAAAAAATCCCCAGATGCTCTAATTTAGTAATTTAATATTGTAAGAAATTTTTGGATATTTCTATATAAGGAAACGATTTTGCGGCTGTAAAAGAGTCTTGTAAAGACTTCACAACCTTCATCTTAAACTAAATACTAAGAGGATTTTATATTCTGCATACAATTTAAAAAGGTGTTGCATATTTTCTGAAAATACGGCGTTACCTGTGCGATAAATTGAAAGTTAGAACAAAAAAGACAACTTTATTCGGAATATGAAAGCGAATACGCTCTGGAAAGGACAAGGGAGAAAATCGCTGGACAACATCTGTCATCTACACGGGTTCCGGCATCTCCAGAAAAACGTGATGTGCATTTGGTGCTTTGTTACATTTTATAAGTTTCCGAGAAAATGTGTTTACGGCTTTTTCTAGGAATTTTAAGATCGGATATACCTTCCGACTACACCGTTAGTTTTAGACGAGTTTAAAACATATCTTTCTCTTTTTTCATTTAGTGAATAAAGGAAGTTATGTTCCAATGCAGGGAAGGCGATAAAAGATTGTCTCGCTCACAAATGTTGTGTGTTTGCGTATATAACAGAATCAGAATTATATTATATTTTCACCTTTCCAACATGGTGAACGGTGATAATAAAGCAGTGTAATTCATATTTCCAATGAATTTGGTTATTTGAAAAATTAAAATATAAGCCACAATGTATTCGGAGCGCAATTATTTTTTCTATCCCTATCAAAAACTAACTAATTTCATTTGTAAATAGATTTCAACCTTGTTATCAATATTTGATTTGTGTTTAATAGTGATTTCGGGGAATCTATCAATTATAACATACAGTGTGCAGCAAAAAGGTAGGCAGGATTTCAAATAGTGGTTGTTCGGTTTGTGAAACGGGCAACACTGAGTACGCACTCGCGTTAGGCAGACAAAAGTATGCAATTTTCAGTTATCGACATGGCTTGGAGCGGAGTGCATCGTGCTTTCGTTGTCGAGGAGTTTATTAGAAATGGGGAATCTGTAATAGCGACGCAGCGCGCCTTTCGTAATCAATCAGGTCAGCAAATAGTCCACAGGAATTTCATGTGCTACCTCTTCACAGTCCAAAAGTCACCGTCTGATGTGCAATCTCGAAGTTCGGCGTGTGGGGCCCTTACTTTTTCGAAGAAGATGGAATAACGGTAACAGTCAACGGAGATCGATATTTTGATATGCTTAACAATTTCCTGCGTCCAAAAGTGAACGAGTTGAACAACGATCAAAGGGAACATCTTTGGTTCCAGCAGGATGGTGCTACATCGCACACAACGCGTGGTTCACTAAATCTTCTTCAAGAAATATGTCTAAACGAAGTGGTGTCTTTACGGAATGATCTTGGCTGGCCGCCACGTTCGCCTGATTTGTCGCCTTGCGACTTTTTTCTTTGGGGTTATCTGAAAGCGAGAGTTTTCATACATCGTCCACGGACTTTGGAAGAATTAAAGGCAGCCATAAGACAAGAAATTGCCTCAATTCCCCAAGAAATGATCCATCGGGTAATGATGCGCTTCCGAGAGAATCTACAAGAGTGCATCGACAATAATGGCCGTCATTTAAAAAACATCATTTTTAAAAAATAGCGTTCCTAAATGGCATAAAATGTACATTTCAAAAATAATTTTTTAAAAATGTTTGCTTTATGTAGTTTGGTTTTTATTAACATCCCAAATAGTACCTATCATTTTGCCGCACCCTGTAGATTCATTTCAATGAGATTTAGATTTAAAAGAGTAATAATTATAAAAAATTGAAAAAATTGATTGAACACCAAAAAAATGTCAATATTTGAAAAGAAATCTTCTGAATTTATCCTGCGTCGGTTATTGTTGAATTGAACTTGCTGACGTTTCGCCAATCATCTTTATGGCTTCTTCAGAGCTTAAATGAAACTGATTCGCACATTACTCTGTACTTGTATATATACTTGAGGGAGCGGAGCTAAGGGACTGGTTCCTATATTGGTGAAAGGTAGAGACCTGAGTCGTTGTTGAGATTGTATGGAGATTTTCGTAGATTCTTGGATTTGTTTCTCGTAGAAAAATTGATTATATTTTGATTTGGTCAAAAAAGATTTAACGTCCGCTTTCATGTTTTCATCAAGTTCTTTGAGCCTAGTTTATATCTTCCTCCTATATGTATGGAAGGCTGTAAACTCCTGGTGCCTCAAACAGAATTTTGTCTCTGATGAATCGATGGATCCAAGATATTCAGAGATTTTTGGACAAGCGGTAAATCTAGTTTTAACAGTATATTTTATGTTTTGAATGTAAAGAAAAACTACAGTTGCTTTCGAACTCATTTTCTTGCTGAAATTATGGTGTGAAGGAATGCTTAATATTTCTAATGTATAAACTATTAAAGAGAAAGTGTTTTAATTCTGAGGTCAGTGCCTCGGGCTGAAATAGGCTCTGCAAAAGATTTGATAACCGACGATTTTGGGGCCGGATGGTGATATGACATAAGGGAGTGGTCGCCAACCTCAATATGTTGAGCTACTTTGTTAATTTTGGAATAAAAAATGAGCTTCCCTTATGACCTATCTATGACAATTAGATCTTTTTTTGTGGAATTTTGAAGCTTCTCTGATTTTTGCAGTTAGTATTTTTAAAGAAAGAGATAGCTACCAGAATTGCCTCCGCGAGCTACCGGTAGCTCACGCTCGACAGGTTGGCGACCTAGACACCAGGGTATCGTTCTGGGTGTGTAGGTACTTTGTATATTATTATATTATATTATTAGTTTCTAATTCAATGGCAAAACCGCGTGTTATAATGTATACAGTTTAAATAGCTAAGAAAATGACCGAGAGATACTTAATCATGATGCCAAATAACAAAAATATCATCCTCGCAGCTTTTCCATAATTTTGGTTTTAGATGAAAGGTGTCCAGGATTTTCTTCTCAAAGGATCCGCAAATATATTTCTTCATACATTTGACCGTTACAAGAAAAATATGTTGCATTGCAAATTTTGATTCCCGAATTTCAATATGTCTGAAATAATGTTTGAGAGTTTCAGGAATAGGAACTTTAGTAAAGGGGAACTCTGCGTCACTAACTAACCAGAATGTCGTCTGGTTAAGTTGGTCCAGGAAGGGACAGGAATTAAGTATGAAAATCTCAGTTTAATCAGTAAGATATTTTGCCAAAAAATATGTTGGAAAATCTGTGGTGGTAACAATAGGTCGAAGGGGTACTCCTGGTGTGTGAATTTTAGGAAGTCCGTAGAAACGAGGAATTTTAGAGTCTTCAAGGGAGACAGATTTTTTTCACTGATTTTAACACACCTCAATACTATTCTTGACGCATATAATTATGGAAGTTTTTTAGAAAAAGCCTTCCATCTAACACCAAAATTATGAAAACGCTTTGAGAATGATACTTTTGTTATTTGGCCTCATGTCAAGAATCCCTGCGAAATTTTCTGGACCATTTAAACTCTACACACCCTAACATAAATTTTACGATTGGATTAGAAAATAATAACCTCCCACTCTTAAGTATTCTTATTATTATAAAATCAGATCTAGCGTTGGGTCACTGAGTTAATAGAAAATGTCCACACGCATCATCATCCAGTGTAAAAATGATCGGTTATCAACACGTTTGTTTACAGAACGGTAAAACTGTCTCAACCCGAATCAGTGGACCGACCCAGAATTAAAACACCTAGCATCTGCTCTTCTTTCTTATAATTTCCATATTAAAGATATCAAGCGTTCGACAACAAAATACACAACTTTCCAAAAAAAAATGAGTTCAAAAGCAACCACTCACTTGCCACTGTTGTTGCTCCTTACATTCAAAACATCACTGACCATATATCAAAAGTTCTAAAGAAATATATAACGTCACTTGCCCAAGAAACTCTGTACCGTCTTCAATCTATCAAAGACAAAATTGTGTTTGACACACCAGGAATTTATAGCACTTCATGCATATGCAGCAAAGAATACATTGGAGAAACACAACGAAGAATACCATCTAGGCTAAAGGACATAAAATAGCTTTAAAACGACGACAAATAAACTCATCGGCAGTTGCCCAACACAGTCATGAATGCGCACATCTAATCTTATTCCACCAAACCAAAATTGTTGCACGAAATCAATTCCGAAAATCCGTAGAAGTCTCCAGCTAACTTCCACCAATATGGGAAATTAAACAATATATAAGCAGATGCAAGCCGCTACAGAAATGTTTCGCCAACCATCCTGTTCACCTCTTCAGAGCTAAACTGAAACTGTTTCAGTCAAAAAAATTGTTGAAACGTTAAAAAGTTTGATCTGAAAACACCGACACAGTTATGTGTAGTATATATGATAGTATTTTTACATTTTTCCAACCGCAAGGAGATCTCTCATATCAAACTTACTAAATTTTTTCTGAATTTGTTGGTAGGACAATTGATAGTAAAGGCAATGTTCATATAGTCTACATCGACTTTAGTAAGGCATTCGACCATACAGACAATCATATATTGTCGATTAGATTTGAAGAGGTCGGGATAGAGGCTGATATGGCTCTATTGTACAGTTCTTGTATTAGTGATAGAAAAGGAAAAGGTACAGTTGACATATACAAATTAAAGTTTTTTGACACCGCATCCGGTGTAACGCAGGGCAGTCATCTTGGCCCTTTGTTTTTTATAATACATATTAAGTCAATACAAAAATGTTCCAAACATTGTAAAATTATTTCGAAGTCTTCGCCGAAGACTTCGAAATAAACCTCTGATAACTATCTAAACCTTCTCCTGAATTCTACCAAATGCTTTAACCTTTCTTTTACCAAAAACGTAAAAGAAAAAAACTCAGCATACAATATTAACAACATCAACAGCGAGTGGAGGAGGTTTGAGATCTGGGGGTCAGGCTGAACGA